CGTACTTGACCATGGGATCAAAGTTAACAAATAGTTAATGGCAAATCAAAATAAATAAGCTAGAAGGGTGAATTCCCAAACAAATTTCTATGAGCAAAGTGCATGAACATGGGAGAAAATGTTTGATAACTGTTGAAATCTCTTATAGCGTTTATTTGCTTACAAGCAGTTAAATAAAACAATGAGAACTTGAATTACAGGTAGTTCTGTTCAATATTGACCCATCAGCTGCTTAGAAAGACAGCAAATAATAGAAGAATAACCATGCCAGAAGTCATTTCCATGCTTTGGCTTTTGTGTTGAAGTAACAACATACAATGTACAATTGTTGACTCCTTATATACACTAAATTTTGGTGTTCAGCCAGTATTAACAGAAGTGCTGTTCTCTGTAGCCTGGGAAATCCAAATTAATCTGTGACTTTCAGGACCCTTTTCAAGTCTGGTGCTGGATCATTTTCACTGGAAATTACGTCGTTGCACTCTTGAAAGGGGAAGGTCACACAGCTCAGTTTGAATTCTTGCCTTGGAGTTGGTTTCTCACTTGATTGTTTTTTTTTTTTTTTTTTTTTGTGTTTTTTTGGTTTTTTTTTTTTTTTTGGTCCAGAAGTGGGAAACACATTAAAGATTAGTTGAATAAGGCAGAGGCTGAAGGATGGTAGAGTGTTAGGATTCCTGGATCGTTTCTTCTGCCTAAGACTGGCAAGGCCACACAATATACCTAATAAAAACATCCTTAGGCCAGGCCAGCCCAGCCGTGGGCACTCAGCATAACTCAACCACATCCTTTGTGTTCCAGTGCTGGAATGCTGGGTTACAACCCAGCAAACAGATTTGAGCAAACACAGATAATGCTGCAACGTTGCTGCCCAGCAGGAAAAAAGGCAGCTGCCCAGGGAACACTGCAGTCTTTGTTATTTATTTTGAAAATTTGTGAAAATGTGGCTCTGTCTTCATTGTTGAATGTAGAGGGGGGGATTATGTAGCTCCTTTTTCAGTCACACGGCCCTAGAAAAATAATTTATCTGCTCACCAGTTGTTTCTGCCAGAACATTTGCAGACAATTCATAGACCTGTATAATCTTAAATAGGGCTTTGAAAATTAATGATACCGCAAGATACTGAGCACTCCTGGAGCTGTTCCTCCAGCAGGTGATTAGTATCTCGAAAATGTTAATGAACTTGAAAAATTCCCCTTTCAAGAGCAATCAGAAAGGACTCTGTGAACCTACAGTGGTTCATAGTTCATAGTGGCTCATAGTGGTTCCTGGTTCATAGCTGCTGTTCTTTCATGTCCAGTCCCACACTCCTTTCTTAGCAATGAACTGATGGGTGACACGGAGCACACTGTAGCACATCATTTTTCTTTTCTTTTTTTTTTAAATCCTTTTGAATTCTCCCCAGTGCCAGTGGCCAGATATTTTTTTTTTCCCCCAGTTGGCATTAATCACCCTTGCCTTGCACAAAGGCAAGTGCTTGCCTTAGCCCTGATTCAGCACCCAGAACTGGTTCGCTGACTCCCCAGACGGATGACACGACACCTCCAGACGTGGTTAATGCCCCATGATCGGAAGTTCCTGTGTTAATGTCAGCAGAGAATTAGAGAAGTAATGAGCTTCAACCCTTCAAAGTCCAGGTTCCCAACCTTTGGGAATGGTGCAGGGAGCTGCAGTGTTGTGCTCCTCCAGACTTACACGTTTTAATTCCTCCTGCCCCACCCATCCTCTTATGGATGAGGGGGATCCCAGCCCTGGGAAGGCAGGACGCCTCACAGCTCCTTGTGCCAAGTAAATTTATAGATGAAGCATTAATTGCTTTCAGCCTCATGCATGTTCACTAATAAACGGATGTGTAAACAGGGAAAGGAGAGGGAAGAAAGAAGGAAACTACCCTTTTAAATAAAAGACGAAAATGTGGTAAATATGGTAAGTATTACGCCAAGGTCTTCGCAAAGGCTTTCCCTCCAATTTCTCTGATCAATCTGAAATCTCAATTCAAAACTCTGTGTGGGTGATGTGTGTGGATGTGTGTTTCCATGTGCCATCAATTCCAGCCATATCCTCCTTGTGATCCAGCCTTCTGCTACACTTTCAAATCTTCAGGCTTGCCCTTAAATCAAACTGGCTTTTCAGAAAATGTAATTTATTTTAATGACTAATTTCAAGTCATTGGCTTCTACTTCTTGATTCTCAAATATATATGACTTCCTCTTGCTCTCTGCAGTTTTCCATTTCATAAAATGAGTCGTGTATAATAACCTATATGATTAAAAATGAAACTACATGGAAAGGAATGAGGTGGCAGAAAAATCATTATCCGATCAAATGACTGTTATTTTGAGGGAAATCTCCAGGAAGGATGATAAAGTGAGACTGTCTAGCCTTGAAATTATAAATAACTATTATATCTTTATTTTTGAAGGGATCACCAGTCTGCTTGCCAATGGAGTTTACAGTGCTGCATATCCTCTGCATGATGTAAGTGATCTTGTAATACATTTTACATGTCTGCTGCCTGTCACCAAAAAAACCCTCGTGTGTTACGTGTTAATGGCATCATCCCAGACAAAAGTGTTTTGGTTCCTGACTTCCTGCTCGCTTGTACCACGACTGCAGGAATTCCTGCAGGTTGTTTCCATTGCTCTGCTCGGTTTTAATGGATTCCCCCACCTCTGTCCTACATTTGGTGATCTTAAGTGATGCTGGAACGTAACGTTAGAATTGTTTCGGGGAGTTTAGCAAATTAAATGCTTCTGTTATTTTCTGACCTTCTGCTCAGGAGATCCCTGGCATCAGTGCTGGGAAACATATTTATTCCTGGGGAACCAAGGGCTGGTTCCCTCGTTGCCTCCCTGAATCCCCTCTGGCTGCATGGAGGTGTCAGGAGCTGTGTGTCTGTGCCATCGGTTGCCACTGGAGCAAAAACCATCAGCATTTTCTGAAGTAACATATTTCCTGGGACTGGGTGTGACTGCAGACCATCTAACTGATGAAACCTGCTTTTGGGCAGTTCACTGAGATGTCAAGAGTGTGTTCAACTGTGGTGCTTGTGAAGAGGGTTATTGAGGGCTGAGGAATTTTGGTGACACTCATACCCGGGCTGCGGGTCCCCGTCCCGCCAGAGGGGCACACAGCTGGATGCTGATGGCATTTTTACTTAGAAGTTCGAGGGGCAGCTAGAAGTGACAAACACACACTCAGAAAAGCTCAACAGATGTCAAGGGGCTGTGGCAGTCACTCTCTGTGTGAGCATCCGAGGGCTGTCGAGCCTGGTGCCGGTTTTCCGGCCTGGGATGTGAGGATGAAATGTGTCTCCCCAGTTTTCTGCTCCCCACACTCACACTGGTTTCACATGGGACTGGGAGAATTTTGTCTTGGAGTAACCAGGAACAGAACAGCCTCTTTATCTGCCTGATGTTTATCATGAATGTCAGGACTCTCAAACTGCAGCTGTATCGTGTAGAAATCAAGAAAGGCTGAATAAACTTCTCTGCATGTTCTTGCCTCACGTCTTTAGACAGCTACTGATAGTCTTGTATGTAAGTTATTTATTGCCTTAGTTTACTCCTTCATCTTATTTAAAAATAGCTCCAAATTAAAACCTCAAATCTAATCAGCCCTGAGTGTTTGGATCTGGATAGGGATCAGCTCTCTCAGCTGGTTTCTTCTCTTTCAAGTGGACTGAGCTGAACCCCAAATACCATGGCAATACCACATCCTTTCCCCTGACATTTTTAGGCCACCTTTATCACTTATTCATTCCTTTTCCCCCAGTGACAGACACTATTACTCTTTCTTAATGTGCCTGATGACAGAGGACGAAGTGTGCCATGACAAATGGACTCCTAAAATACAGCATTATTTTACAGCTTGCTTTTTCTGGTTTTGATGCATTAAGTGAGTGGGATACAGGGGAATGCAAATACAGAGCAGTCCTGGGCACAACTCACTGAATGACGCAGATTTTCTCTTTTTTTAAAGGGTGACTATGAAGGTGAAAACGTGGAACCCAATGACAGAAAAGTAAGTTGATACAGAGGGGGTTTAACATATTCACGAGAGTCCCAGCCTGAAGAGTCACCTGTTGCAATCTGGATGTTTGCCAAGATTCCACAGAAAATACTGCAAAAAGGCACTAAATGCCAAGCAGTAGAAGTACAGAAGTACTTCCCAGCTTTTAAATTTGCCCAAAATGTGGAATGCAGTACAACATGTATAAATAAGCAGTATATATGGTATGTCTAAATAAGGAATACGTATAAAATACCCAGCTCGGTAATGATACGGTTCATGCCACGTTAGTAAGAACATTGACAGCATTTCTGTGTGACTCCTCCTAAAGTTCAGATGATTTCAGGCCAGCTCTGATGAGAATATGCTCAGTCATATTCTGGTATCTGTGTCAGATACAAATCCTGCTTCATTCCATGGCGAGCTCCGGTCTCAGCACTGCAAACTCTGCTGAATTAATTTGCTGCTGATCTGCAGTGTGAGGATCAGAACTGGTGGTGGGGGGGGAAGCACCTGAAAACACAAGCGTGAAAGTGACTGGGAAAGATAAATATGGAATATTTATCAGGAATAAGAGGTCCCCAGCAAAGCTTTAATGTGGGCTCTTCGGGCAGAAACTGCCCTGTGGATGCACAGCGTTTCCTTTCAGTCCGTGGTTTAAATTGTGGTTTTATTGTCTGTGTAGTGAAAGACATGAGTTTATTGCAGTAAAACAAGTGGGAATTATTCTAAGGAAATACTTTTCATAAGAAAAACAACAAAAAAACCAAACAAATTTTCGCCCTTTGTGGAAATGTTGATTTCTTAAATTCAAAGTGCAGTTACTCCACCCTCCCCATCACGCTTCCCTAAAGAAGTCTGGCTTTTGTTTCTGTGTGTCAGACAAAACCTGAAGTAGAGAGGTTACAACCAGTTCTCTCAGGAGGAGCTGCTAAATTTGGGTGTCATGTGGTGGCTTTTAGACCTGAAACTTTGCCTTTCCGGTTTGTTTCGTGGTTTTGTCTCCAAAGAAATGCTCTGGACGTGCATTTCTCGTAGGAAAAGGAGATCCAAAGACTTTCAGGTTGGACATATAAAAACAGGTACCCAAAATTAACAGTCTGCTGGGCCTTTAAGGTGCAAATGGCTCGTCAAAGGACAGTGGATGTTGTCCCCCTCCCTCTATTGATTTGTGTTAAAAATACCACATACCTGTCATTTCATCTTTAAGCAACACAACACCCAACCAAAAATAGGATTAAAGTCCATATTTTATGGAAGTGTCTGGATTATCTTCTTCACTGCTAGCATTTCAAACCTCACAAATTCACTCATTTCACAAGTTCGTTGTGTGTTTGGAAATGTTTACCTTGGCTTTTGACTTTAAGTTCCCTCAAATAATCTTTTGGTGTCTTTTGGCGTGTTTCTTCTGGTTTCTCGAAGCTTTCTTTAATCTAATCCAGTGCTAAGCTAGGTCTGTGCCTTTTTTTAACAAGAAAATTAAAGATTTGAAGCATAGAAATGAAGTAAATATTTAGGTCTAGTGTGCTGATCTCCTCTAATCACGTCTTTGAAGCTGTGCTTTGAATATCAGGCTGATAAATGTCAGGATAAATGAGATAATTCATTTGTACTTTAGACACAAATTTGGTTTCGAGTTGCACAAAACTAAAACATGGCACTGATGCAAAATCCCTTTAGCTGAGTATTTTCCTGATATGCCTGACAAGCTTAGATCACAGAAAAGGAATCCAATTTACAGCACAGACTTAGTTGTAAAAAAGAAATTAAAACAGAGTGCACATGGATGTCAAGGTGCCCCAAATCGTTGCTTCCCAGACATAGGCAACGGGCCTTAAACTTATGGAAAATGTGGTTAAAAGAAACCTAAAGCAGAATAAAAACAAAATATACAAGCATGTTGCTGTTTAGTAAAGGCCTGCTGTTAGGAGTCAGTTTCTGCCTTTACTGTTGTAAGGAAATTAATAAAGATTAATGATTTTGTGTTGCTGAGGGGAAAACCCACAGTCCACTTCACATTTTTGACGTCAGGTTTCTGTAAAAGTTAAGGAGTTGCTTTTTTTTTTTTTTTTTTTTTTTTCTTCTTTTAATGACTCGAACCATTTGCCTGAGAAGTACAGCAGCTGAGCTTGGAAAGTCTGTGTTAGTGGTTTGTTTGGCAGGAGAATTCCAAAACTGCTCTAGAAACAGTTGCTGGCTGCGTGACTTCTCCGTGATAAAAGTGTGAGCGGGAGGAACGGGCACGGGCAGCGGTCAGGCTCTGGTCTGCCCTTCATTTCCCCGGGGAGATGGAGGAGTTTGATATCTGTCAAGGTTCTCATGATAAAATAGCCTGTATATTTAGGGAATAACATCCTGTTTGGGCTGTTTGCTGTGAACAAAATTCGTCATGTTGCCCTCCCTCTGACGATCCCGGTTTAGGTCTCGGTTCCCCTTTGAGTTTCTTGCAAAGCTGCACTGGGTGTGCAGCCCTCACCCCACCCGTGGAGGGTTGTGTAACCAAGCTCTGGCATCTTCTTTTTGTTTCATTACCCCACATTCAATGAAAATAAATACCTCAGCAATAATCAGTTTATGCTCTTACATTTGGGGGGAAGGGGGGAAGCGATTGTGTTGTTGAATTAATAAAAACAGAAGTGACCGTCCAAGGGTCTCCTTGAAATATCAATCCTTGCTCCAGGAGCATTTACCAAGTTTATGTCGCTGGGATGAAGCAGGGAGAGAAGCAGTAAAGGGAGATCTGACCTCACAAGCAGATATAAAGCTGTTCTTCCCCCACAGAGGAGGTGCTGGGTGGCCAGAGAGCCCAGTTCATCTTCTTCAGTATTTTTTGGATTTCTTGTTCACTCCGTTAGCTGAACAGAATAAATAAAATAATCAGGTCTGAGAAGAACTATTTACATATTTTACAAAATAAAGGATAAGTTGAAGGCCTCAAAGGAACCTATTTTTGCGAGGGATTCGATTTTTTTAAATCAGTAATGGGGATCATTGTTTTCCTTGGGCCATATCCTAACCAAAAGGAAGAGTGGAAATCGTTGGGTTCTTGTGGCTTAAAGCTGAAAAACATCCTAAATGCAGCCTTTGAGGCACCTCTGCCCAGCACCTCTTGATGGATGCTGGATTACATAGTTTGTATAGCAAAACCAAACCAGTTTATCCTAATTTTTTTTTTTCTGTCTTCTAAAAGCTCAAAGCATATTCATCTTTGACATCCATTCTGCCACGGAGCATAAACCCAGGACTGCTCTCCCTGTCTCTGCTGTGGTTATCCATCAGTCCAGTTGCTGAAGAGCCTTTTAATGTGCTAGAATTCATCACTGTGTTAGAGCATGCCAAATCAGCACATTTATTTTTTTAATACTTAATGCAGACTGAGTGCATTGGCACGTTGTGAGTTGAAACTACAACGGGGTGAGACCAGACACACACACCCCCAGTGTGAGCTCTGCAGTTTGCTGGGGCCGAAGGAGAACACGCTGCTCCTTCAGCTCTCACCTCTCCTTTCTGTTTTGCAGCTCCTGTGTGAGGAGTGGGCGAGCTACGGGGTGTTTTATAAATACCAGCCAATCGACCTGGTGAGGTGAGAGTTGAGCCCTTAAACGTCGTGTTTCCACGGGGCAGAGGTGAAGCTGTGCAGAGAGGTGCTGATGGGGGTGTCCGTGCCCTCAGTGCCACCCCAGGGGATTCTGGAGAATGGGAAACTGGGAGAAAAGGAGTTTTTGTGTGAATTTAGAACGTGCATCCCACCTAGAGTGGAAGCTTTCTAATTTTGAATCAATTCTGTTTGCTCATTATGAGACTATCTGAAGAAAACAAGGTGCTTTTTTTAAGAGGATTCGCTCACAGAAGATCTAAAGATACCAATTTGCAGAGCAAAAATGTGGGGGGGGAAAAATGACTAGTTGGGCTGGCTTGTTTTCATGGTGCCTGTATCTCTGGATGAACTCCAAGCATCATGAGAAAGAGAGTCCTCTGAGAAGAAAAAAATTCCCACAGGTCATCAGATCTTACTTTCTCCATGCTTAATCCATCTGTGATTCATAATTTTAGCCACGTTTTATTTTAAGAAATAGGAAACATTTTTCTCTCTCTCTCTCTCTCTCTCATTTCTTTTTTTAAAAATTTATTTCAGAAAATACTTTGGAGAGAAGATTGGGCTATATTTTGCCTGGCTGGGAGTTTATACACAAATGCTCATTCCAGCTTCCATTGTCGGGATTATCGTTTTCCTCTATGGCTGTGCCACTGTGGATGAGAACATACCCAGGTAAAACAAATAAATAAATAGATTCTGTTGCTGGAGGGCACTGGAAACTCAGAGTTATCTTCCTTTAGAAATGTTTAGAAATGCCCCCTACCAAGGGCACAAAAGAGCCCATTTTAATCTCGTTAGCATTTATTGTTGATTTTACACGTGGAGTTTGCACTGATGTGCTACAAATAATTCTTGGCCAGTTGCTCAGGTAGTTGGGGTTTTTTTTCCTAACTGAGACCATTATGTTAAAACAAACCAACAAAATACTGCTAATGATGGGGTTTGGTGCTTCCCAGCACAAAATGCTGAGGGAGGACATTGTGTGACTTAGAGAAGCATCGAGCATGTACATCGCTCAAATAAGCAACTGTGATCAGATTAACAAAGTCTTGATGTCCTCCTATTTTTAATCCTTTAGTAAGTTTTGCATTATGATGTTTTTAAAGCCCTCTGATTTTGCATTATTTGCCCTTCATGCATCATCAAGCTGGAGATGCAAATTACATGGTTTGTACAACAACCATGAGCCCTGAATAACAAAGCAGATAATGGATACAGAAAAATAGATTTTTTTTTTTTTAATTCATTAAGACTGCTTTGTACTGCTTCCAACAGTTAAAGAAAGTCAAAGGGAGGGTCACTGTTGCTATTACACAGATGGAGCACAGAGAAGATAAATTGGTTGAACTCCAGTCTCTTGATACTTGTACCTTATCTATCACTGTAGTTAGAATTTCAAAACAAGAATACTTCAGTTTTATTTTATTCTGTAAGATCCTATAGGAGAAAGGGATCAGCAGCCATGAGGATTTCAGCCCCTGCTATGGTGGAGGTTACAGACAGGACTGCTCTGAGTTCTCTGAGTGGTCTCTGATGGTCCAAAAGACCATCAGAGCGTGAAGAGGGAGCCCCACTGACCATGCTTTTCCCACCTCTCGTTGCTTTGTTGCAGTATGGAAATGTGTGACCAGAGGAACAACATCACCATGTGCCCCCTGTGTGACAGAACGTGCAGCTACTGGAAGATGAGCTCTGCTTGTGCGACTGCCCGTGCGAGTCATCTGTTTGATAACCCTGCAACTGTCTTCTTCTCAGTCTTCATGGCTCTCTGGGGTGAGAAGATCTGTGCCTTCATGTTAAGTTTTTAATTACTTACAACAGGAAGGAAAAGAAGAGATAAAGCAGTGTATTTATACTCAGGCAGTTAATGATGTAAAGAACGTCTCTTTTTTTCCTTCCTTTTTTTTTTTTCTTTCCCGTGAATCTGCCACGCCCAAATTTATATTCTGGACTGGAGGCTAAAATTCAAAAAGTTGCTCAAGCTGAATATCAAATGAAATTGTTAAGCATCTGTCATAAAGCTGCTGCGTGGTCTGTCAAAATTTCATTAACGGGATTGCACAGCTTGCCAAAAAAAAAAAAAAAAAAAAAAAAAAAAAAAAAAAAAAAAAAAAAAAAAAAAAAAAAAAAAAAAAAAAAAAAGTCTTTGCAGAGCCAGCTTCCACTTTAGAACATTACAGAAGAAATGTATTAATGTACTCTGGGGTTGAGGGGAGGGCTCTGGGGGGGGAAGTGTAATGGCCTTTAGCATCTTCAGGACAAAGCAACATTGATTCCCGAGCGTGCTCTGAGATGCAATTAAGTTTATCAGCAGGCAGACCCTGAAGTGGGAACAGTGGCTTTGGAGGTATTTTTCCTGCTGCTGGCTGCCCTGGTGCTTTGAGCACATCACTTAACCTTTCCCGGCTTGTCTCTGGAACTTGGGTAAAGGTATTAACCCTCTCATGAGACCTTTGTGAGAGGGTCCTCAGGAATGGTGATGGAGGGCTCTTCTCATCCCTGCTGGAGGAGGGGTGGGGACCCCATCCCCCGGCATGGGCACTGGGGGAGAGGAGTTTTGGTGGCCACGTACTCCCAGCATCAGTGAGAGCAGCACAAGATGATGTTTGTCTTCCTGCACACCTTGTGAATTAACATAACCTGGTTTGGATTGTATTTCATCTTAATAATATACCCTGAGTTTTTGTTTGTTCTGGGAGCTGCTTTTACATTACCATACACCTGAACAGATTTAAGTAAAATTCGGCATAATTCAGTTTAAAGCAGTGTCTTTTTGGCCAAGGTCTCTGTTTGAGATGATAATGTTTTAGATGATGCAATGCTAGGAGCTCATTATCAAGTACCTTAAGGAGAAGGGCTAGGACAGAGGGATTTTGGCAACAGTGGGGTGCAGGTTTGGAGGGAAGGCTGGGAAGTGGTGGGGGGAGGTTGAGCTCAACCAGCTTTGCAGCAGAGAGGAGGGATTGCTGTCTCACAGATCATCATCTGGCCACGCAGCATTTAGGGAGAAATGTGATGTACCCCAAAGCAAGATGCAGTGTCAGATTTTAAACAGTCCAATTCTCTCATGCAGAGAGTCAAGTATCAACTTCTGTCTCCCTTATTTACCATTATTGTGAACCCCACGTGGATCTTTGGCCCTGTTGTCCAAAAAGTAGCAGTTTGTCTCCCTTTCCATAGCAAACATGGGTCTCTTCATCCATTTTTTTACAGTCTTGGACAAAGTAAAGAAGACTGGCAGAAGCCAAATTCTGGGCTCTGTACAAAATCTGAGAGAGTTTTGAAGTGGGATGTGAAGCTCCTCAAGTTCTTTGGAATCAACCTAAAATTACATCGTGGTGCAATACCACTTAAAACAAATGTTGTTGCAGAGAGATCTTTTTCAGTTGGGAAAATAAGAACTCTTTCCATGTAGTTCTGAACTTATATTATTGAATTCATGTACAGTTGAAGAGCTGAGGCAGAGGAGACCCAAATAACCTGCTCAGGACACAGGGCACCCTTAGCACAGCAAGAAGATAAGCCCAAGTTTAGGGGTATTAAGGTGAGCAAACATTAGGCCAGGCTTTCTTTGTATCGTGGTGGTGTTTTAACACCCTGGCAAACTCTGCTCCCACAAACCTTAAACTGGCTATAGAACCAAAATGAGCCCTGGTCAGAAGTTCAGCGTTAAACATGGACTCTAGCCCAGTGCTGTTTGGTATTAAATGGCATTAAAAATGTCAGAGAATCCAGATAAGATCGTCTGGACAGCAACCTTTGGGAATTTTTAAGCTCCGCGTATGCTTAACGAGCGCAGATGAAATATGAAAATGCAGGTGCTCCTGGCAGAGCAGTGCTGCATCACTCCCTGGCACCTTCACTGAGGGCTTCTGAAACGAGCTGGCCGTGTTTCAGACAGTCTTTTCATCTTGCCCTGTTGTAAGCCAGTGCCACAGAAGGGTTTCTAGTAGCACGAGGGAACGACATCCCGTTCGTTTTCCGTGTTCCTGGCTGCACGCGGGAGCTTGCAGATCCCGGCGTGAGAACTGCTGGGAGAGGGGAGGCAGTTCCAGGGCCATGACACAGACCCTCTTAAGGCACAGCCACGGCCATCCTGATTAACAGGAAGCCTGTGGCTTGTGAAGAGGCTCGGTTGTAACTTTTCCATGTGAGAGTTTCGCTTGGAAGGCGAATGAGTGTCACGGCCCAAGCCTGGCTCCAGTCATGAGGGTGTCCTTTCCTCTCTTTTCAACTTTCTTACCCTCTCCCTGCCTGTGTTTTTCTCTGGATATGAGTGTTTCTGAGCACATCTGTTAATACTCACTGCAGGAAACTCCCCTGGGAACACCATTTCTTGGTAGACTTGCCTCTTTCATAATCATTTATTTATTATACAACTCTGGTGTATTCCCAGCATCTAAATATGTCCTCTGAGAACTCACTCGGTCTCAGGGGCAGATAGACTGATATAGACTGGGATCATTCATTGGGACTCAAGAATTGCTTTAATGAGGTTTTTTTCTGTGAGTCTTCTCCATCAAAAAAAAAAAAAAGGCAATGTTTTTAGTGATAAAAACCCACAAAGGCTTCCTCTCTCACAGCCTGCCCACCACCAGCCGTGAGTGTTCGGGTTTGGGTGTGATGATTAGAGCCAACCATACTGTTAAGACCTTTAGATGGATGTAATTACATGACACAAAAATGCTTTATCTTGACATCTTTGAGGGAATAACCCTACCATCGGTTCAAGGTTAGTTAAATCACTCACGTTTTATACAGATAAAACACGGGCTTGTTTGCACTTATGGATGAAATTATATGCAGATGAAGACCATTAATCACACGTACAAATATTTAAATAAGCTTGGGTGCCTGACTTTCTTAGACCCCTTAGAAATCGCAGGCACCTTTCTACGCGAAGCTGTGGGTGCGACAAATGCCCTTTATTTATTTTTTTTTTTAGCTTACCTAGATAAAACATTTGACTCCTGACCCATCAGTATTTCCCAGACAGACGTGACTCTTGAATACAAGAGAACAAAAATGAAGCTGTGTGGTATTATATGTCAAACTGTTGTTTCAGCTGCCACCTTTATGGAACACTGGAAGAGAAAACAGATGCGTCTCAACTACAGGTGGGACCTGACTGGGTTTGAAGAGGAGGAGGTTTGTCCCTTCAGTTCTGACTCTTTCGCTTCCACCGTGGTGTTACCAATAGCTCCTCACCCTGACCTGACAGACTTTGCCTCGTGGGGAACCGTTCTTGGGGTGTTTCCATCGTTTAGCAGAAAGGAAAATCTCTATAACATGAGCTGTTCGAGTTTTTTTCTGTAGCAAGGGTATGACTAGTATGTCTTGTTGCCGCAGAAATGTAATTGTATAGCCACAAAATGTGATTTTATTTTTTTTTTTTTGAAGCGTGTAGTCGGGTCACACCTAGTGTGTAGGCATGGAATATACAGCTCAGAGCTCACTGCTGGGCTGATGTCAGGGTGCCAACAGCTAAGGACCTCATTCATCACACACTGCTGTAAACCAGGAATGAATGTACTGGAGCTGATAAAGTTACAGCACTGTAAAATAAAGCACTGAGAAATTCCTGTTAACTTTAACGATGCAGGATCAAGCCCTGACTTGGAAAATACCTCAGAAAGCACTGCCAGACCTGTGGGCTTTGGGGCATTGGGAGGGACACAATGTGGAGGTGGTGGGGTTTTTTTTCATTGACTAAAAAAAAAAAATATCCCCAGCCAAGGTCATACTAAATATGCTAAAAAACATAAAGGGGAAAAGGGCTGAATTTGTATGAAAAAAGGTCATCAAAATCAATGGAGGAAAGGAGAAGCTGAAAAGCTGCATCCCACCTTTTTGCTTTTAATTCTGTCACTTTGCAAAAAAAACCAAAGGAGGCGCCTTCCTGGAGCAGAACACAGTCCCAGCCCCCCCCCCTCCAAGCCTTGCCCTGCTGTTGTTATTAAAAGAACTATGACCTCCCTTGTCATATCTCGAGATGTTCTAAATAGATACACAACAAATACTGCTCACGTGAAACCAAACCCTGCCCAGCTCGCTGAGCCTGGCACAGGCATCGTTCCCCTCGCCCCCAAAGTCTTTCTGGTTGAATTATCCCCTCCCTCCCCTTTAATATGTTTATCTCCTTCCTTAATATATTTAGGGGCCCTGTGCCAGCAGCCTCTGTGCCGTGTGCTGTGCTGGTTCATACCTGTTTACTGGGGTTTAACAGAGGGATTTATTCCCTGGACACTATTGTGCTCTTTTATTTTTGGCAACTTGTTGTTATCACACATGAAAGTGGAGAGGATTAAGTGTATCTTTCCGATGTCTATCCCCTTCATGTCTGAGTTCACAGCCCCACAGAGCAGCTGCTAATACAGTATATTTTATTCTGTGTTTTGGGTAGTCAGTGCTGGATAATCTGGTCGTGTGTTTAGCACCGAATTTAGGCTCCTCCTGCCTCTGATCTGGGGGGAACTTAAGCTGGAATCATGTTGAAGAATCAGGGTTTCGAGTGAAATGTTAAAACCCAAAGTGTCTCATCTTGGGGTGTTTTTAGGGGTGCCCGAAGTTCACACAATACTGACAGTAATGTTACTAAATGCAAAACACGAGTAGACTGATTTTTGCCATCTGCTGTACCTGTGTCTGTCTTATGTAATTTTGAAAATATAAATCCAGTATGATCTGCAACTGTTCAGTAATCAAATTTTTGTTTATTTGTTTTTTTTTTCTTGTTTTTCGTGGGTTTTTTCTGGTTTCCTGAAGGAGGCAGTCAAGGTTTGGAAAACATTTTTTTTTTTTTTTAAAATCGCTCCTACCTTTTTTATTCCATGTCTACTGATGAATGCCATCTTTTGATCTCCATTTCTTCTTTTTCGAGCATCAGATTTTCTTTAGATCTCCCACTGGTTGCTTTGCCTTTACACCCTCCCGCTCTCCACTTGTTCAGACTTTTTTCAGCTCCGTTCTGTTTCCCATCCAACGCATAATTTTGAATTCTGACTCTTTTATGAATGCCTAATTATTGTGAATCCGTGAATCTTTCTGAATCTTCTGGCTGTCTCTCACTTCCAATTGTTTCCTCCACCTTCTCCTTCAATGCACATGGAGAATCTGTGGGTGCTGTCCAAGACAGAATTAGGGGGAACGCCCCAACTGACAATTCTCTGGGATCCCAAAGCCAAGTGTTTTGCAAACCTACAGCAGAAAATTGTTTCCCTCACGAGCTGAGGATCACTGAAATTACAGTTAATGACATTCAATTTTTATCAAAAATGTAGGTAATTAAAATCCAAGCATCGTGTCACTTGGTATGAACTGTGCTGTCTGCAGGTTGTGCTGTGTATCTCATGTGTTAAATTTAATCTCTGTAACACTGCACGTGGGTGTCCAGATTGTTCTGCAGTTGCTGCTGTAGAACTGTGAATGATACGGGATTTAACATTTTTTTAAGTACAGTCAGTTGACATGAATGACATCAAGTAAATTGGGATTCAGTTAGAAAACTCAGAAATTATCAGGAAATCGACCTGCAAACAGTCCATGTGTAGCTGATACAGAAAACAAGCAATTTTGCTTTTTATTGAATGTAGCTTGTTTCACAGGATCATCCAAGAGCAGAGTACGAAGCTAAAGTTTTGGAAAAGTCCCTGAGAAAAGAACACAAACATAAAGAGGTATGGTAAAAATATTCATTTGTTTCACTTAGAAAAGACTGAAAAAGAAGGTTGTTACAGCAGGCACTGACCCAAGACTAAGGAATAGGTAAAAAATAGAACTATTGCTCAATTGTGTTTTAATTCCAGGAGTCTTCAATCCTAGAGTACTTGGTGTGTGCCAGGGCACAACACCTGATTAAGTCTAGAAATGCTTTTAATGATTAGATTGAGGAGTATGGCTTGGGGAAACTAATTGAGCCCCATCAAAGGGGTGCTCCTGTCACATTAATAAATCAGGTTTGAGAAAACTGCAACAAACCATCTTAGTCTGTGCAGTAAAAGCACCTGAAGCCTCTCAGGAGAAGTCCTCTGCCGTGCTAGACTTTCTCTGCAAATAAAAACATTACTGAAGAGCACTAACAGCGATTTCCACGCCCAATTCCAGCTTTCAGAACAACTTTCTGCCTTCTAAAAGCACAGCTTCCATTTTGTCCCACTGAACAGCGCGGCGATCACTTTTGCTTTTAACCTGCCCTTTTTGCACCGTTGTGAGAAAGGTGCTGCCAGTCATCCCGAGAGCAGCTAATCACCCCTGAGAGCACCTTCCCTGCCCTTTCCCTGAAGGCTGTAATTCTTTCCCTGTTATCAGCAGATTGATTGGAAAAAGCTCCTTTTCTCCCCCATGTACCAGCTTCCACCCTACCAGAAGTTATCCCCCCCCCTTAACTGCAAGAATTTAGCCATTTATGTGCTGTGGTTTTAAGAAGAGAAGTAAAAACTCCAGCATAAACCAAGCCTGTTGGCAGAATTTCCTCTCCTGTATCTGTTGCCAGTGGCACAGTAGCGTGGAGCCATTCCCTAAACAGGGGTTTTATGGCAACCCTATGAAAATGCCAACTGCAATAACAACATTTACACAATATACTCTTTAGGGGCAGCCTATGTAGATTGGGCTGGTGTTAAAACTGAATTTATGCTTGAGTACCATCTTCTTAAAAGATGCTGCAGAGCTGCCAGTGGTTTGTTCCCATTAATCTGTAGGATGCTCTAAGTGGTTCAGTGCCATGTGCAATACCTTTGTTGCAGCAGATCAAATCCCTTTCAAATCACTTGCAGAAGAGAAAAAATTTGGGCCGCTGCCCTCTTATAGGCTGGGTAAACAATTTTGAATACAGATTTCACTGTATTCTGCTAAAAACCCGTAACATGCTGTACTTTTGAGTATATTAAGAATTCAGGTCTTAAATGTGAAAGACGATTAATTAATGGTGGCCCCCTAAGAATGAAAGTTGAGCAATTAAGAGGGTTTTGGTTTTGGGGTTTTTTTAACCAGACTATTTATAAATTTTTGGGCTGCGTTCAATTTGGATGTTGCTAATTTGGGAAACGTGAGAAAAAGAGGGTTTTTTTTTTTCTGAAAGACTTGGTGGTTATCTTTCATTGGGATCTGGTGTGTTAAAGTTCAAATTCAACAGTTGTAAGACAACTTGGAAATCTTATCGAAGAAAAAATATGTAAAGCTAAACCAAAATTCCTTATGTTATTTTCAAGAGAAATCCGACTAAAAAAAAAATTTAAAGGAAAAAGGTTTTGGAGATTCTTTATACTTCATAAAAGAAGGGCACAATCCTGTATTAGAAAAGGAATATCCTTTGCAGGATTGCCTGAGGTACCCCGAGGATTTGGGGCAAGGGTTTGTCTGTTGTTGTTGTTGTGTTTTATTAACTCAAAGCTGAAACACAAAGCCTTAAGCAGACTAAAAGAGCGTTCACTTGTGCTCAAGTGCTGCGTCAGCTGAGGCAGTAGAGAGTGTGTAATTAATTGAGCAGTGCTTTGTAATGCCATATTGCCCGAAACCCTTTCTTGTTTCCTTTGGCTGCCATCAGAAGCACCGATATTTTCCAGAAGAGACAGCAAACAAATGGAGACAAAGAGTTAAGACAGTCATGGCTGGGGTGAAATTGGTTCTTTTTATTCAAACTTATGAAGGAACTCAAATTATGAGTAATTATGGAAGACACGAATCAATTTGGTTTTCTTTTTGGCTGTTGAACCTTTGTTTAATATTCACATTCAGTTCTGGGTTTCTTCCCCTTCCTCCCCCTGTTTCTTCAGCACCTTTTGGGATGCTGTTTCCATGCTCTGGGAATGGCACTGCATGGCTAATCTTAGATTTCCCATCCTGGACTGGCTTTGTTTTGCAGTGGGGCATGGGCCATGTGTTGAGAGAGCTGCTTGCACTTCCCCGAGACAACGTGCATGTCATGAAAACAGAATTTGACTAAAAATGTTGTGTTCATTACGACGTGTGCATTCGTCTCCTGTGATGTTCCTTTTCTTGTTTGTTTGTTTGGGTTTTTTTTCTGGTGTTTCCAAACAATTCCGGGCATCAAAGTTTGTGAAGGACTCTGGATGAGCAACACTGTTCTAAAGGAATTTTTCAGGGCCAAATTCAGGCAGTGGCTGGTTGACTGCATTTAGGGAGTTTGCTACAAAGACTTTTTATACACAGAATCACAGAATGGTTTGGGTTGGAAGGGACCTTAAAGACCATCTCATTCCAACCCCCTGCCGTGGGCATGTTAACTCCTGTTGGTGTGACCCATTGAATACCAAGGGGATAGTTAAAAATCACTCATATCCAAGGAATTTGAAGTCTCATACCACACACCAAAAAAGATCTTCCCTGTCAGCTCTATAAGTTCACCTTGGAGTTACTCCATACCGTACTTAAATCTGTATTTCAAGTGAGCCAGTTATGCAACTACAAAGCTGCAAATGTTAACTGGGGAGGGAGAGAGGAAGGAGGGGAGTTTTTTTAGGGGAAGCAAAAGAAAATATTTAACAGTAAGAGAGACCTTACTTCATGCTTTCTGACAGCCTATTTGCATGTTTCCTTCAAAAAAAGTATACAGAAAAAAAAAATCTGGTTTATTTATGCTCCCAGTGCAGGCCCTTGACCAGTTTGAACCTGGATCTGGAGTAAACAATTTGCCTGTGTGGAATTGTAGCTGTAAACACTGTGTCTGCATCTTCTGACTGGTTGTGTTTTTGCCAGCCTTTTCTTGCCCCTCTTTGTTTTTGTCACACGTGCAAAATCACACGCTCCTTTTTTTTTTTTTTTTTTAACATGCCCTTTTTTTTTTTTTTTTCCCTCCTCAAAAAAAAAAAAATTTTAGACAGATAAAGAAAAGCTGACGTGGAAGGACCGCTTCCCAGCCTATCTAACCAATTTTGTTGGCATCATCTTCATGGTAAGCACCTGAAATTTCTGTTACTGAGTCGTTGTGTAGAATAGGAGTGATGGAAACATTAGTGAAACTTTGTCAGGTGGAGATGTGGTTCACAGTGGCTTTTTCCCACTTGAAAAAACTTCAAGCATTTTATTGTTTCAGAATCTAAAATCTTTTCAAGGGCTTGAATTTCTACTTTGCCGTCTCTTCCCAGCAAAGAAATAAGAATCCTAAATTAGGGCAGGGGAAAATGAGGGCACAGAAATGGAGATTCCCACCACCACTGATGGGACAAAACCTGTCAGGAAGGGGTCAGGAAGTAGGAAACAGCCCCACTTTGCTACCAAACTCTCTGAAAGAAATGAGGTTGCCAGTTGCAGTCGTGCTGGCGAGGATTTTTAATGCATCGGTCAGGTTTGGAGCTACCCCATCTAACAGGAGAATTGCAAACAGAGCACTTAATTCAAGAAAAAGGTAAAATAATGATGAGAGCAGCCTTCTTCCATTTGCTGATAAAGCATAAGCGTTTAAAACAAATGTTGACAGAAATGACAGTAACTCCAGATATGGAACAGATTGGCAGGCAGATAAAAAAAAAAAAGCTTAAGCCCTTTCCAAAAGTAGAATTCTCCAGACTAAACTAAATTGATTTGGGTTTTTTTTTTAGGGGATAGGGATTTTGTTTTGGGGTTGTTTTTTGGTTTTTTTTAATGCTTGCATTTTTAGAGAATGGAAGTGCAGCAAATCTGATATTCTCAGCCGAAGAATCAGGACCTTATAAGAACCACCTTTTAAAATTATCCCTCCATTCAAACAATGAAAAACTGAGTGAGATTTTACTTTGCCAGGAACTGTGTTGATTTAATCAGGCTTAATTTCAGTTCGTGATTGTGAAAGCACAACAAGCCTGAGTAAGGGATTTGAAGGCTTGTGTTAGAGTTAAGCAGAAATACACCTATTTTTTTCAAACATGGCTTTTTTATACTAATAGAGGAAATACCATGTGTATATGCTATTGCTGTCAGGGCTGAAAGCAAGCCCACTAATAATTTTAATATGTATTTATATTAGTTACTGATAGATAATATTTTACTATTTAGTGTTCAGTATTTGGTTATTAGTAATATATAATATTTTTTTAATACTCCTAAGCAAGATGCTGTTGGTGTCAGGGCTGAAAGCAAGCCCACCAATACTTCTAATTAGTATTGATACTTATATTAATTAGTAATAAATAATATTTTAGTATTTAGTGCTCAGTACTTAGCAATTAGTAATATATAAATTTTTTTTAATACTATTAAGAAGGGTACTGTGGCTGTCAGGGCTGAAAGCAAGCCCACTAATACTTTTAAATTAGTATTTATATTAATTAGTAATACATAATGTTTGAGTATTTATTGTTCAGTATTTAGCAATTAGTAATATATAATTTTGAAAAATACTAATAAGCAAGGTGCTGCGTGTGTCAGGCCTGAAAGCAATCCCAATAATATTTTTAATTAGTAATTATACTCATTAATAATAGATAATATTTTACTATTTAGTTATTACTGATATACAGGATTTTTTTTAATACTACTAAGCAAGAGGCTGTTGGTGTCAGGGCTGAAAGCAAGCCCACTAATACTTTTAATTGTATTTATTTTCATTAATAATAGATAATATTTTACTATTTAGTTATTAGCAATATATAGTATTCTTTTTAATACTGTTAAGCAAGATGCTGTTGGTGTCAGGGCTGAAAGCAACCCCACTAATATTTTTAATTAGTATTTATATTCCTTAGTAATAGGTAATATTTTACTATTTAGTTATTAGTGATATATAGTATTTTTTTTAATTCTACTAAGCAAGAGGCTGTTGGTGTCAGGGTTGAAAGCAAGCCCACCAATACTTTTAACTAGTATTTATATTCATTAGTAATAGATAATATTTTTTTAATTTAATGATCAGTATTTAGCAATTAGTAATATATAATTTTTTTAAATACGACTAAGCAAGATGCTGTTGGTATCAGGGTTGAAAGCAAGCCCACCAATACTTTTAATTAGTATTTATATTTATATTAATTAGTAATAGATAATATTTTACTATCTAGTTATTAGTAATATATGGGGGTTTTTTTAATACTGCTAAGCAAGATGCTGTTGGTGTCAAGGCTGAAAGCAAGCCCACCAAAACTTTTAACTAGTATTTATTTTCATTAGTAATAGATAATATTTTACTATTTAGTTATTAGTGATATATAGTATTTTTTTTAATTCTACTAAGCAAGAGGCTGTTGGTGTCAGGCTTGAAAACAAGCCCACTATTACTTTTAAATTAGTATTTATATTTATGTTAATTAGTAATAGATAATATTTGAGTATTTGTTGTTCAGTATTTAGGAATTAGTGATATATCATTTTTTTAAATACTAATAAGCAAGATGGTGTTGGCGTCTGGGCTGAAAGCAAGCCCACCAATACTTTTAATTACTATTTATATTTATATTTATATTAATTACTAATAAATAGTACTTTAGTATTTAGTGCTCAGTATTTACAAATCAGTAATATTTAATGTTTTTGATACTACCAAGCAAGCAGTTCACATTTGGGTGCCTTTAAGAAAAAGCCTTTTGCGTGTGATTGTGGCATCGCCGCGTCCCTTTTTCCGAGTGATTTTCAAGTCGCTCGCGAAGGAGGATCTTTTCCCGCGGCTCATCCAAGTGTTTGGGAGCCTTTAGTGCAGGAATTGGGTGGAGCTGGGATGTGGCCCAGAGATCCCGTTTCTGAGGCCGCTGCTGAGTCCCAGACTCAGGAGCATTTTTCAGCTTTGGTGAGATCTCTCACCAAAGGCCGGGCCGTTCTCCCCGGCAGGTCGGGCTGACGTTCGCCATCGTGTTCGGAGTCATCATCTACCGGATCTCCACGGCCGCCGCCTTGGCCATCAGCTCCACGCCCTCGGGGCGCTCCAGCGTCCGCGTCACCGTCACCGCCACCGCCGTCATCATCAACCTGGTCGTCATCATCATCCTGGACGAGGTCTACGGCTGCATCGCCCGGTGGCTCACGCAGATCGGTAGGTTTAGGCCCGCGGCCGGTACTTGCTAGGCCGGTTCTAAACGAGGAGGACGTGGAAAAGTGCGGAAAAAGGGTGCTAAAAAAACACCGTGAGGAAAAAAAAAAATAACTTTTTGAGTCATTTCCAAAAAGCGACAGTAAAAAAAGGGTTCAGGAACCTTTTCAGGTGAGTTTTTGTCCGTCTGCAAATGATTGTCGTGAAGGTCAGCCAGATGTGGAATGAAATTGGAATTACTGTTGTAACATGTCTGAATGATGGGATCCTCCTCAAGATATATAAATATAGATATAATATAGATAGATAGATATTATATAGATTTTATATATAGATGTATAGATTATATAGATATCATAGATAGATGTAGATAGATATCACCTCAATAAATATATATATTTATATATTGAAAGAGAATATATAATGTATATATAAAATATATATAAATATATAAATATATGATATATTTTATATAAAAATATATATTATATATAAATATATCTTTTATATATAAATATACATAATATACATTATATATAAAATATGTAAGTATATATAAATATATAATATATATTTTATACATAAATATATATTATATATAAATATATATTTTATATATAAAGATACATAATATACATTATATATAAAATATATAAGTATATATAAATATATAATATATATTTTATACATAAATATATATTATATATAAATATATCTTTTATATATAAAGATACATAATATACATTATATATAAAATATATAAGTATATATAAATATATAATATATATTTTATACATAAATATATATTATATATAAATATATATTTTATATATAAAGATACATAATATATATTATATATATATAAAATATCTATAAAATATATTTTATAGATATAAAAAGTATATATAGATATATATACATATATATTATATAATACATTTATTATATTTTATATGTATATTAAAACTACAGATACACATGTATACATATATATATATATATAAGGCTATACATAAAAACCCCTTTGCTTAAAGGATGTTTTCCCAAAATCTATTCATAAGATCTTGAGGTATTGGAGGTAGGATAATTCCTTAACGCTTTTTTATCCACGTCACATTGGTTCCAGAGGTGCCAAAAACTGACAAGAACTTCGAGGAGAGGCTGATTTTCAAGGCTTTCCTGCTGAAATTCGTCAACGCCTACACCCCGATTTTCTACGTCGCCTTCTTCAAAGGCCGGTGAGTGATGCCCAAGGGCTGCTCAGGGTTTCAGCTTTTCAGCCCCAGACATCAGGTGGTCCCACTCAAAGGCGTGGATTGTGACATAAATTGCCCTAAGAACAAAATATCAGGAAGTATGAAATATATTAACTCCAACCATTGTGCCCTAGATTTGTTGGACGTCCAGGTGACTACGTCTACATTTTCCATTCTTTCCGGATGGAAGAGGTAATTGCATTTCCAGCCCGCCCGTGATCCTGCTGGGTGGGAGCACCCTCTGCCCCCGCCACAGGGATGCAGCAGGTTGTTCTGACTGTCCTTTCCCCTCTCCACCCCAGTGTGCTCCGGGCGGTTGCCTGATGGAGTTGTGCATCCAGCTCAGTATTATCATGCTGGGCAAGCAGCTGATTCAGAACAATTTGTTTGAGATTGGCATCCCGTAAGTAGAGACTTTTGTTTTCGTTTTGGTTTTGTTTTCTTAACAAGTGTTTTTTACAGTGCCTGCGATGCACTGTGTGTGTCCACTGCCCCTGGATGTGAACGTGGCTCACGGGCTGCGTGAAAGATTTTTTCAGTAAGTCTGTGTTTGTAGAGCAGCAGGAGCCTGAGGGGGCTTCAGAGCAGAGTGGAATGACCAGAAACCTGGTCTAGCAGAAGGTGTCCCTGCCCATGGAACAAGATGAGCTTTAAGGTCCCTCCCAACCCAAACCATTCCGGGATTCCATGCCTCTGTGACTGGGAGTAGCTGCATCCTTGCTACGATGCATCCAGCAATGCAGGTGTCTTTGAAAAGTGCTGGGCAATCTGTTGCTTTCCTGCTGGTTAAGCAAGAGGTGTCATGGTGAACAAGTGATTCAATTACAACCATATTTTAGTGCCTGACCCCTTTGATGTATACTTTTATAACATACACCTAATATCCTTCCAGCATATTGTGGCTCTTGCACAGTTCTTATGAAAATAAGTACAGTGCAAGCGTTATGAAATTATGTGAGAATCATGAAAATGTCGTGCCTGTTAATGTAAATAACTGAGAAATGAGCAGAGGATGGAATTGTAACTGAATCATTTCCACTTCCCTCAGAAAAATGAAGAAATTTATCCGATACTTGAAATTAAAGCGTCGGCGCTCTCTGGACCATGAAGAGCACATGAAAAAAAAGCAGCGTTATGAAGTGGACTATAACCTGGAGCCTTTTGCTGGGCTCACCCCTGAATACATGGAAATGAGTGAGTGGGGTGGAAAGAAGGCATTTTAAGCCGTAATTATTCCGACTAATTGGGATGGAGGGCAGAGCTTTTCGAACTGCAGGTTCAGTGGACATGAGGGTAACTTAATTACTGACGTGTACAGTCTTGGATTGCAGCATGTTTCAGCCAGCCCTGGCTGCTCGAAGGCTGAATTGTGCTCCCTGCTGTTCACAAGCCCTTACTTTAGCACGATATTGTAGATATTTTCTTTCAAGCCATGTGACATGTCACTGCCAAGTTTCAAATGCAAATGATTAAATGGCATATTTTATCACCAAGCTCCACCTTACATAGGAAATAAATTAATTAAGATTTGATAATTTCCACACCAGAGTCTTTGGGGTTTTTTCTGAAATCTGATCTAAATCTTCTGAAAGAGAGATGTGTCTCTAGGCCAGGCTGTACTCAACAGATCACACTTAATTTTATTTTTTTTTCAAGTAATGCCTTCTATTGAATGAGACAAATTAGAATATGTGGTGACCTTGATGTTCAGAGCACTTGAAACAGATGGAAATCTAATGCTAGAGGCTAAGAGGTCATGCTGTCAGTTCCTAAAAATAAGAAAAGATGCAGTTACTGAGATCAGCATTTGGAAGTAACAGAGGCGGAGAAAGATGGGGCACTGGCAGTGCTGGGATGAGCATGACATCAGTGCAACATCCTCAGCAAACAAAAAGCAGATACAGGTTGTAGGAAGCAAGTTACTCCCAGCAGAGGCAGAGAATCAGTCATGTCCTTTCCAAAGCTTCCAGTGGGATCGGTGAAGGCTAAAAACCTGCCAGGTGGAACGTGGCAAGTTTAGGTAGAGCTGACACTGTTGCTGCCATAACCCCGCTCCCTCAGGTCATTCCTGTGCCAGCCTTGCCCGTGGAAAAATTGGTTTAGGAGCTTCCCCATCCTTGTGGTTACTTTTCCTCGTGTTTTGTGAGGTGGCAACGGGCCCTTTCCATGCCTGAGTGGAGCAGCCATCATGCAAACTGTGCCTGACGCAGAAAATGGGATTTAATCTCCCAGAACTTGTAATCTTGTCAGACTTTGGGGGATGGCACTGACGTGGTGCTGGAAGCATTTGGTCAATACTGCCCACAGCCACTGAAAGGGGTTTCTTTTTCTTTCCAGTTATCCAGTTTGGGTTTGTGACTTTGTTCGTTGCGTCCTTCCCTCTGGCACCTTTGTTTGCTTTATTGAACAACATCATTGAAATCCGTCTGGATGCCAAAAAGTTTGTTACTGAGCTGAGGAGACCGGTAGCAGTGAGAGCAAAGGATATAGGTAAGTGCTTATTGCTGCTGTATCCCTGTTTGCTTATTCCTGGATTGATGGCAGGATGTTGTTGTGCTGAGTTAGTTTCAATAACAGGAAGATATTTATAGGAAAATTCAAAACATTAGGCTGTGGCTTAGCTGTGAACCGCCATAACTCATCGAGGCTTTGCTTTTAAAATAGGAAGACCAGGGCTTTAAATTCAGATTAATATTTTATTAAGCAAACATTATCACTTTTTAAATCAAAGCAATCAATGCAGTGGCAAAATATCTCACATGCTTCTGCACAACAACGGCCCTTCCCGGCAATGCAGTTTTCTTGCAGAAGCAAAACTTTCCGTGTCTAATAACTCTGGACTGGCCTCAGAAACACCCTTGGGAGTGAGAGGAGATTCAGAAGGCTGTGAGTAAATGTATCCCTACTCAGCAAGAACATCAGAAGGGTGAAGGCTGCAGTGAATGTGGCTGGAACTGGGCTCTGCTGTACAGACCAGTTGCCCCCTTACTGGGTGGGGGCCCAACAGCTCCGGGTGTATGTGACAAGGAAGCTGTTTCTCCCAAATGTTGGTTATTTGTGACTAAAAAAAGGTCGTCAAAATAAAAATAGAAATAAAATAATTGTCTTTATTACGGAGCCGATCAAAGGGAGCAGAGAAGTTTGTGGCCTGTTACTAAAGTCGGGGTTCATTCTGCTGTTGTCCAGGCAGAGCTTTTCCTTGGGCTCATCCCTGTGCCCTGGGATCACCCTAGACTTGAAGAACACATCGTGTTTTGTCAAGGGCTTTGCCATGACTTTGCTTTGGGGGTGTTTTTTTTTTGTGGCTGCCTGATTTGATGCTGTGGGTTGCTGGTGGAGGTGGTGGGGAGAGTGTTGTTGGTTTTTTTTTTTTGGTTGTGGTGGGGTTTTGATTGTTTTTTTTTTAAATTTGTGTTAATTGCAATTCATTGCAATTCAAGCATGGTCTTGTGGGTGAAAGAACCTCACTTCTCTCAGAGACATCCTGAAGTCAGACTGAGAGGGCCACAGACAGAGCAGACAAGTTTTTTAGCACAGGGATTGTCAGGATCAGGAGAGGGACAAGGTCCCACCTGCCTAAGGCAGTGGGTAACCACAAACAGAGGTCTATCCCTGCTTCCACGGACACTCTCATACCTTTTCCTGAAGTTCTGTGCTCTGCCCAGGCTGGTCTGTGTGTGCTCTGCCAGAAAGCCAGGCTGGAGGAGTCTTCCAGGGACATCACCCTGTGTAAAGCCACCTACATCTCCCTTTTATGCCAAGCATTCCTCTATCTCTCTCACACTTGCCTTCCCCTTCCTCAAAGAAGCTTTTAGCTTAAAACCTAAAAAAAAAAAACAAACAGGTGCTCAAACATAGCTTTGGAAGACAGATTTGGGCTCCCTTTGCTTACGGGTCATTAAATTCATTTCTTATAACTTGTTCTTTTTTTATTTAAAATATAACTGCAGTTCGGGTTCTCTTAACACTGTTAACTAAAAATGTAATTTATGTAATTTTAGGGACTAGAACAGAATTTACATGTCTGTCTCCTTCCTTAGGAATCTGGTATAACATCCTCAGAGGGATTGGAAAGCTTGCTGTCATCATAAACGTAAGTAGATCAGCATGAACAAAACTTGAATTCAATAGGCCGGCTTTTCCATTCTGCTCCATTAGTTTTATTTCAGCATAAATCCCTTAAATCAAGTGAAAGTATATGATTTAGAAACTTTTGGGACCATCAGAGAATTAGCTGCAGTGTTTATTTTAAAGTTGTGATAGTAGTAGCAATAATATAAAATAGTAGCTAGTCATTGCAGCTTTTTCTCCATAATGTTTTCATAAAACAGCTTTGCCCTTCAAACAAATATGACCACGGCTGCTTACTTTTGCTCCTTTGAAATACTTTCACTAAGATGATGTATTTTTTAATTTCAGTGCTATTTTGGGTCTGGTATGAGATGAGAATCAAGTTCAGCTCCTCAGAGCACAGTGTCCCTCCGTTGAAAATCTGCCCAATACTCCCGCCCAGAGAGTGTTGAAAACCCTGAAAATATTTTTATTTCAACATCAAAATCCACATCCCAGCCCTTAGAAAAATTTAGCACACCTGGATATATTAATGTATGTGCTTCTCTAGTACTCTATAGGAATAGACATCCACAATGATCATCCTTCTTGCACCCCAGCTGGGGAAAGATGAAAACAAAAGCTGTTTGCAGTGCAGCAAACCAGGGACTGTGTGGGGCTTATGGCCACATGTCCATAGACTCACTTGGGGTTTTTTTTTACATTATCCAGACTAAAAATCCCTTCAGTTTGTCCCCAGGGGTCCGTTGGGCTGTGGCAGAACCATTCTTTTGGTTATTTGGTCTGCTGCCTTAGTTTGTCTTTACTTTTTCTACTTTACTCCTCTTTTTCTTTGGAAATAATTTCTCTATGTTTTTTCTCTTTTCTTCTGTGTAGTCTCTTTGTCAGTGTTATTTTTCCCTCTTTGGTCAATGTACTATTCCTCTTTACCATAAAATAAATAAAACATTTTGTACTGTGTTTGTTCCACATGTACATGAGATTTATGCCACTGAGAATGTTTCATAATAATGATAAATGAGGAAGGCTAAAGTTATGGAGAACTCAGCCAAATTGGCTGTTGTGCATTTTCTGTACAATCTTTTTTTTTTAAAAAAAAAAAAAAACATTTTAAATAACCGACTGAAATGCAATTTCTGTGACCACAAAAATAAAACTGGGCTCCGTCTGCTCATCCTTTTATCTTGGTGGAGTCGAAAAACCACACACAATTAATGGCCCTTCTGCAGCGCAACGAGAACTTGAGGAGTCGATTCGCTGCCGGTTGTTTGCAGACCAGGGAAAGCGCTTGGAAATCAATCAGCTGGACCTTGTGCAATGCACCAGGGACAAGCTGTGACTGGGGCAAGGGGGAGCAGTGCTGTGTTAGCTCTCCTCTGGTGCTGGGGGTGCAGCTGCTCCGTTCTCTGGGGGGCTCGGATCATCCGCAGATATCTCGGTGTGGAATTACTCCGCCTAATATGCTGCGACTCAGAAGAGCAGAGCAGCAAACAGAGCCTTGTTGCAGCCAGTGAACGCCCCATTTTTAGGGCCCTGAAGGCTGCAGCGTCCCCTGAGTTGCACGAGTTGTTTGGGCAGTTAATGAGGGTGTTATTAACGAAGCAGTGCCTGGATATTGCGCTCACTCTTTGCTCTTGTGGCTTAGGCATTTGTGATCTCATTCACATCCGACTTCATTCCACGCCTCGTGTACCTGTACATGTACAGTGAGAATGGCACCATGCATGGCTTCGTCAACCATACACTATCCTCTTTTAATGTCAGCGATTTCCAAGCAGGAACAGCTCCAAACGACCCCCTGGATCTTGGCTACGAGGTCCAGATATGCAGGTACTCCCTTCAATGATACAAAGTGTTTTCGCAGCCGGCCGAGGACGCGGCAAATTTTTACTTCCCTTGTATTTTCAGTTCCTTTTTAGCACCTTGGTAGCCTTTATATCCATTGTCTTGAACGCCCTGGCTTACCTATTAAGCAATCACAAAGCCTGAATATGAATTGCTGCTTCTCTTTTGGGAAATGGAGATTAGCATTGGTTAAATTCACTGTTTGTCCGTGCAAAGAGAACAAGGAGGAAAGAGACATTCCAGGGGAGAAAAAAAAAGAAAGATGACTTTCACATGTAGTGAAAACTTACAGAAATTGATCAGGGGAAAAAAAAAACCTTGCCTTTATAATAATATTATTTTTATATATTTTTAATATTTTATATATTAATTTATATATTATATTTAATATTATTAATAATATTATATTTATATTTATTTCTATAAAATAATATTTGTAATTTATATAAATATACATATCACATTTATATAAATATACATATCACATTTATATAAACATACATATCACATTTATATAAATATACATATCACATTTATATTCTTTATATATTTGACAGTGCAAGTTAATTGGCTGCAACGACCTTTAAACAGAAAAATCACTCTAAGATGAAAGGAAAAAAAAAAAAAAACAAACCAAAATTACATAAGTATTACCTTTGCTTGCATTTACTTTCTCCTGGTTCCCTTCTGGTGATCTCTGGGCACAGGATGAATGAGGCTGGCAAACAGGTTTTAGCACAGAACTCACTGAACAGCAGTGTCAGTGTCATGGTCTAAAAGCAAAATGCCAAGTTTATTTGCTTTCTAATCCCAGGCACTTTCTTCTTGCCATTCCATCAGTTCTTTGATAGTTCAAGGACTTTTAAATCATTTGAAAATATGGGGCCCTAATTCTTTCAAAATATTGACAGGATGCTGTGGTTTTAAACTGGTTTTTACTGAGATCAGTATTTTTGCCTTAAAAATTAGTTTGAAAAATAGATGTTGTCCTTTTACCTATCTCGAAAGGAAATAAATCATCTGAGCTGTGTATTTTACTCCATCTTATGAAAAATTGATATTATTTGTACTAAGCAGAGGGTATTAAGATGGAAGACCTTTAAATATGAGTAAAGCTTGAAGGTTATGGGAGACTTTCAGCTGTGCCTTCCTTCTGAAAGGTTGATTACAGCATCATGCTGTAATAGTGAACTTTCTTTTAGACAGTTCCACTTATTGTTTGACTCCTTGGTATTAATTGTTTATCCCAGTGCTGAAATTTCTGAATGACGTCACCGATTTACTGAGTCTTGTTTTGCAGATACAAAGATTATCGAGAACCCCCCTGGTCTGAAAACAAATATGACATTTCAAAGGATTTCTGGGCTGTCCTAGCAGCAAGATTAGCCTTTGTGATAGTTTTCCAGGTAGGTTACACTGCAGGCTGCCCTTGGGAATGAGTTATTAGGCCAAAGAAATATCTTCTTTCTCAGTTGTTTCATGGAAAAGCAAAAGAAATTTGCCCATCCTCATCACCCTCTTCGTACCACCAACCCAGGTACAGGTATATCCTCAGCGGAAAAATCCATCCCCAGGGATTCCCTGAACTGGTTTGGTGCAGAAGAACTTAATGACTTTAGAGAGCAGCAAAGCACAAGGCTGATACTAATTAAGTCCGACCAATTTCTCCCGTGGGACATCAACAATTTCAATGAAGCAGCATAAATTTCATCCGAAATCATTTTTAGAGCTAGCCAAGACATGAAATTTCTGAAATTTTCCCAGTTACAGTTTAAGTTGCACCTGAACACGAAGGCAAAATATTGTAACTTGTCCTCAAATTACATTATTCCATCACAACAGTGACGCTGGTTATTGTGACACAAGTGTTTTAAGTTTGCCTTACCTGAAAAACTTGTTTCAAAAATTTATGGGATTTTTTTGGGGGGATAAAATATGTATCTTTTTGTGAAAGACACCCCCCCCTTCCCTTGAATCAAGGTTTTTAAATCAGAAACATTTAATTGGAATGTGTTTTACGAGCTGTCACCACTTTACCTCTTGCATTTGCTTCTGCCTTCCTTGCTGCAAAACTCCTGAGCCATTTATCACTGCCAGTATTTCCTTTGGAATTCTCAGTGGCTGTGGCAGTATTTGTACAGAGATCTGAGCCCGAGGTATTTTTTTTTTTTCACTTCTAGCACGAGCAAGCAGTTGAGGTGAATTCGGTTCAGCACCAGCCTTGTGACATGCAGCTGATCCCAACTCAAATATTGTCCTTTCTTCATCCTTCCTCCCTGAGTACACCAAAACCAGCCCCTTTCCCCCCACAGCCACCCTCTTCATTTGACCTTGCTGACATTTTCTCACAACTTCATTTCCAGAACTTGGTCATGTTTATGAGTGACTTTGTGGACTGGATTATCCCAGACATTCCCAAGGACATTAGTCAGCAGATTCACAAAGAGAAGGTTCTCATGGTGGAGGTCTTCATGAGGGAGGAGCAAGGGAAGCTGCACATGCTCGAAACCTGGAAAGACAAGGACAAGAGAAAAGGTGAAAACTGTAACAATCACAGCCCCAGACTCTCCAGGAGCCACAGTGGGAGCTTGTCCTCCTGCCATTCCTATCCTCTGGATGTGTAGAGGAGGAGGGAGCTGAGGATGTCGGGGCATTCCACAAAGACACAAAGGGCAGGACTCGAGTAATGGACAACCTGGTGCATGTTGAAGGATGTGCTGCCATTTCGCTCCCATCTTTGTGAGAAATGCCCTTCCTGCAGACATGGAGGACCACATTCTATTTCTGGTAACGTTCTTTTTCTTTTGCACAAGCAGTAAATGCAGGGAATTTTTATATTTCATCATTAGATAACACTCTTGACGTTGGCGTGCATTAATAAATGCAGGTACTTAGTACATCTTGCTAGAGATATTCTCTGAGAATTTGACCTTAGCCTATTAATTAATGGATGAAGTAAAAGGTAAATTTTAAATAATAATAATAACAAAATATTTTTGGAAACCCAGGTTTGAAGGTCCATGGGGTAACTTGATAAATTATATGCAAAATCAGCTCTAGAGTGGAGAGAACCCACGTAAAGCCTCCCAGACTGACTCGCTTTCCAAGACTGGGTTTAGCTCTGTGCCTGAAACAAGCAGAGCTTCAGTGTCACACCAGGTGTTTAAGGGCACTTTGTGGCAACTTGCTGTGCATCCAAGACCTTCAGAGCCATCAGGAAAGGGAATCTGGAAAGTTGTTTTTTTTTTTTACCACTGAGCGACTGATGCGGACGGAGCTACCCCGGTGCCCCAGGCTGCAGTTCCCAGCAGCTCCCTCCCCTCGTGGCCAGGCAGCAGCAGCAGCACAATTTTGGGAACCTCCCAGCAGGGAGACGATCACAGAGCATTTTGGGAAATGCCCTGAACTAACGAGCACACGTGGAGCTCCAGTGACTCACACTGCCCTGCCCAGTACTCGGACACTGTTGTCGCTGAGGAAAATCCCCTTTTCCCTGTTGTTTTAGCACATCCCCTTTCCCAGCCAGGTTTTCCCCTGTAGCCCTGTGTCCTCTGCAGGAGAAGGGAGTCTCTGCAGCCCAGCTTCTCCCACAGATTTTTCTGCTGTTGAATGGCATTTCCCAGAGGCTGTGCCAGAGGAGTTAAACCCAAAACGTGTCCCACTCACTGTCTTCAGTGGAAGTTTTGCCTGCACTGGGGCTACAGGACCAGACCTTCAGTTAGTTACAGGACTCTTCTTTTGTCTTAAAATACTCTATCTTTTGTACAAGGAGCTTCCCTAAAGTATAAGTGTAAAATCCTTACCTACCATGCCTAGTTAAACCCCATCAGTACAACTCTTTTTAAGCATAATACATTTTAGTTTTGCTTTGTCAACCGATAAAACTGCACTTCCAAATAATATTGGTGCAATTAACCTAATTTCTTTTATTGCTTTGTCTTGTCCTTGGCACTTGCATTGCAAATATAAAACTGAAAAAAGAAAATAAAAAGGAAAGATTTCTTTAGAGTCTAACTACTGTATGGTTTGTTAAAAAACCAAAAGTCAAAAGGCTGTTTTCAAGAGAAGATGGTTATTTCTTTTTTCCTTTTCCTTTTTTTTTTTTTGCCAAACTAATTTAAAGATTAATGCTAGAACTTTAAAAAAAAAATTGCCATATTTAGCTTTTGATATATTTATTTGTTTTAAAGTATGTGATAAACTTGATATTTTTCTGTAGTCTGTCCAAAGAAGGTACCAGAAGAGAAATTATGTGGAAGAAAGAAAATGGTATTAACCAAATATTCTTGAAGCTTATTTAAAATATTGATCCAACCAAAGATTTTTATTAATAAAGGGCTTATATTTTGTTAACTCTTGTTTCTGTTGTATTTTGACTTGCAGGAATGTCACTATTTTTAAAATTTGTAACTTATGATAGTGTGTTACTGGAGGGCCAAATCCTGCCTGATTTATTCCCACGTAAGTGTTATTCCTGGTAGTTAGTGTTTTACCAGATCAGGCCCACTGACTGCAAAAGGACTGTGAGTGGGAATAATTCCAGCAGAATTCTGTCCACACATCTTGTTGGAAACATGTTCTTCCTCTCATTCCTTGGTAGCCCAAAAGATCCAGAAGAAAGACAAACCTGAACTACCTGTTCTGAAGAGAAATCTTAGGGAACGTCCTTGAAGGGGGATTTAATCTGTAAATACTCACCTGAAAGTATTCCCAACTTAATACTGACATTCCTGTAAATGATAGAACTATATCCTGAACACATACTTAGCAGAGTTTTTCATTATTTGCTGAAATCATGAAATAGTAAAAGTTGCTTATACTTTCTTTTGTACAGTAAATTGTTTGAAATGGAATTTTGTATATAAAAATCTGTATTACTACTTAGATATCTATAAAATTCTTTCATGGAATCATTTTTTTTTAAGAAAAGCAAATATATACTAAATCTGTTTTATTTTGGTTTTGGTTTGTTTTTTTGGTTTATCGGGTTTTTTTTCTTTTCCTTTGAACACTTATTTGAAATAAACTTAAATATGCAAGAGTTTCTCCTGTGGGACAGGTTCTGTTCCCAGCTCTCCTTGTGCTCTGAGTGTACAGACATCCTCCTAACAAAGCCAAAGGTACATCTGGGGTTTTGAGCTGCTTGGAAGACCCACATGGAGATAAAGTGAATCCCCCCTGAAATCCTTCTGCCTGCAGGAGCACAGAGGGATTTTTTTTTGGCTGCACTGTAGACACTAAATATTAAGTGATGGCTCTTAGCCTGGGAGCTTTCATTTTCTTCTGATTTAATCTTTGGCATTTAGCAGAGCATAACGTGTAGGAGCTTTCACTAGGACATTTGAAATGGGCTCCTAACGAGGGAGAATGCTAATTGCTCCGTTCTTTTAATTTGAAAAGTGGATTAATTACTAAGAGTGGAATGGTGAAACCAAAGGAATGAAGCTCAGGGATTCCTTTGCCTCAACTCTGAGGGGAAGCAGAGTGGATGTCACACTTTCGCTGCCTTGAGGGACCTTCACAGGCAAAGCTGGGCTCAGAACTTGATTTGCTGGTTGAAATTGTTTCATCTTCTCCCATTTAACTGTTCTGTGAGAAGGCAAAGCATGAGGCTTCGTGCCAATCCTCCTCCTTTTCTAGCCAGAAAACATGAAACACTCTAACTCGTGACATTTAGTTGGAAGGTGGGAATTTTGTTCTGAGGAAATGAACACCAGAAGCAGGTGAATCACAGCCCAGTTGGTAACTGTTTGGGTTTGTCAGTTCTCAAAGACAAAATAGTAAATAAGACCTTGTTAGATACAAGATAATGCCTTCCAAAAACAGGCTTGCACTGTGGTTGGTTGTGGTACTTCTCCTGAAAGTTTTCTCATATTTGGGATGTGAGCAGAAACAAGTTTGGTTTTTAGCAATAGCAAATTTGAGGCAGGATTATGCTAAGAAGGATTCACTGGAAGAGAGCAGGGGAAAAAATAAACTTAAAACAGAGAAGCAGGGATCTGGAAGTGACCAAGGGATACCTGAACATTCCTCAATGTGACTCCCAGGGACTGTATGGGCCAGCTTGGATGAAAGATAGCAAAACAAGTATTTTATTTGTAAAAATACAGCTGGATTCTGTATTGGTATGACAGTATCTCCACAACATGCATTCAACCTGTTCTTGGCCTGCTTCTGCCCCAAAACTGTAAGTACAAAACCCCACTTCCCAGCCCTGCTTTGATCAAAGAGAAAAAAATATCCCAAACCCAAAGTCCTAATGTATTAAAGAGGAAAGTCATTATACCAGTTTGCTTGGTCCAAGAGAGGAAATGCAGACAACAGGAAAGATTACTGCTGGAAATGGCTCTACAGAGCCATCTACAGATCATTTTTGAACCGTTGCTAAATCACAGTTTGCTTTTTGCCATCCAAAGTTTGTAGCAAAGAGACAATGTCAGTTGGTGCATCCGGGGAGGAAATCATACCCACCCTATTGTGTGGCCAGTAGGAGTCTAAATCTTCTGGATTTCTATGTCATTGTGTTTCTAAGATACTGTCCTACAAATATTTTGCAGTCTCAAATAGCTTAAGGATGAATAAGTCTCACGTCAAGGCACGGACACATTTCTATTTTTAAACCCTCCATGCTCTGTGGTCCTGAGCTGTTAATGATCCGTTTGGCTGTGGTGATTTCCAATTAGCAATGATAATTTACTTTTCATCCTGCTACCTCAGGAGTCTGACCTCTCCTGAAGTTCCACAGGTCACTTGAGTGCATTTATATTTTCCTCTGAAGTTTTCAGAGTAAACAACTTTTCTTCCTCTTGCCGCTGAAGAAACCCTGTCTTAAAATTTATACGAATTCCATTCAAACTCTGGTTCAATTCTTTTGCACGTTTGAGCACTGTTTATTCCATGGCCAAACACAATATGCCGTTTTTAGTCCAGCAGAGAAAAACCAAAGTTCTTTTTTTAACCTTCTTTTTTTAGCCCAACAGGCCTTTTGGAAGAAGAAACCGACTATTAATGGGAGTTCTTTTGAATTTTGAGCTCCATCCTTCATTTTTAATGCCATGCACGCCACCTGATTCCAGGCCACCTGAAGCCAAAGGAAGTAATTCCATTGATTCCCCATGATTGCAGCATAATTTGCATGAGGCTAAGAATTGCTTATTGAATGATTGGTTCCAGTTTGAATAAAAACTCATGACAGTTATTGCAGGCTATTTTTATAACCCACAGTGTCAGCTAAAGCCAAAATACGTTGATGCAGATGCCTTGTGTGAGCAGTAAAGAGTTGGGTGCCCCGTTGTTCTAGTTCCCACCAGGTAAAGGGCTTGGAAAATCCAGTCATGTGAACTTGGTTACATCAAGTTTTAAAGATTTTGAGGTCGTAGCTTTCACCTTGCTCGGTACTGCCTCTGTGAGAAAATTCAGGCCAAAATGGGAAAGACATCCACTGGGATGCTCAGGAGAAAAAAATACAAGATATTGAGCAGAGTGTTTGTGCTAAACAAACTTTAAAAATAATAAATAAATAATAAAGCCTATTTTTCAGGGCAAGAGGCAGGTATTTAAGCAACCTGTCTTGGAGCAAAAGAAAAGGTTATTATTTTTACTTTCACATGGAAAGAGTGGCCACCTTCTCTAGCAGGAATATGAGATGGAGGTTGGGGAAAAGGTGCAAATAGGGAAGAGAGGAAGGAAAGGCTTTTGGCTGATGCTCTCACACCCAGGTTAGCTGACAGATCAGCCACAGAAGTTGTTTTTTCTGGAAAGAGACTGGCTTCCTAAGGCAAGGACACCTTGTAGGTGGGTTATCAGGCAGCCTTTGCCAGTGTTCCTGCAGCAATGTGCCATCTCATCCTGCCAAGTCATGCAACCCTGTCGGTCCTGTGTTGCAAGCTGGAAAGCTTTGGTCCTTTGGAAGGAATGGGATGAAAACAGAGTAGGAAGGAGACAATATCTCCAGGATCAGTGAGAGTGTGGTGACTGTGCCTTCTCCGCCGCATTGAGAATAACACCACGATCCTTGGCAATCAAAAACAAAACAGCTCCTCTCAGAACACTGAGCAGATCAACCTATAAACTCTCACCCAGGTTCCAGAACTTGTGAAGTTCTGTCCTGGTGGGTGCAAGCCCTTAGGCTCTGCAGCAGGTAAGTTCTCAGGCCCCAGAGGGGACGTGCAGGTGAGTGGCTGCTCTGCCGGTGCTTATGAGCATGGAATTCCCAGCTGTCCTGGCTGGAGCGTGTAATTACAGGAGCAGCTCACACTTCTTAAGGTATTAATCTTCAAAATACATCTGTAGGTAAAGAAGGAAGGTACTTGCAAGTAATTAACCATCAAGTGAGAAAGTAAGAAATCTCAGCAGGCCAGACTTACTGCACAACCTCTCTGGGCAGCAAGAAATGGGTCTGCAGTCTGGTGGTTCTGGGCCACACTCCTGAAGTTTTTTAGGTATTTTACTCTACTCAAGCACTGTTGGAAGGAGGAGGGAATCGGGAGCAGCAAAGGAACAGTGAAAATCCAGAGAGTAAATTACTGTGAATTTCAGCTGCATCATCTTCATCCTGTCTTTAAAGGGCGAAAGAAGTAAAACCAAGAGTCGGTTCTGAAATTCTGCTAAGCCCCTTGACTTCTGTCTTTTTGAATTTTTACTTCTGAAGCCAAATTTCTCTGTTATCTTTACAATGCTTGTCTTTTAGCTCTGACCAGGGAGAGCTGGAGAGCTAAGCTGGTCATCACCTCTGGGGCTTCTTGTGGATAAGAAATGACAATTAATCACTGCCAGATTGAGGTACTTGGCAAAGATGTGGCACAGGCTCCATCTGCATTAAAAAGCCTCCCTCCAAACCTGGTGAATAACAGCAAAGCAAAATACATGTCCGTGTGTATTTGAGAGACAAGTGAGGGAGGGATCTTGGGTCTGATCTTGAAATTACAAGTCATTTAATTTTTGTTGCATCTCTAAACAAGAGCTACACAGGGAGAAAACACAGTATATCTGGCTTTTTGAGGACAGGCAGACAAAGCTGTGGTGTGTGTAACTTCCTTACTTCTAAAGTGTACAGACTGCAAGGAAAATACATAAACGCTATATATTGATTTAGATTAATCCAGTCTTCTCCCAGGAAGAAGCGGGAGGAGCTGCGGGTTGTTACGGTGCGGTTTGGGTTTTTTTTTCTTTTCCTGTTTTTCTGGTTTCCTTTTCGACCACTGCGGTGCTGGGCAGAAAAGGCTGGAAAAGAAAGACTGGGAGCGGCTTCCCGACTCGCTTTGCAGACATTCGCCACCTTCAGAGGAGGCACAAATCCCCGCGGAGCTGAGC